TCCTTTTTTTATATTCTCATATCCATTACTTACAAAACATTGCAGTTTCCAGAGGTCCATTTAGCTTTTTAAAACCATAGTACTACAGGAAATAAGCATAAGAAGTCTATTCTTAATGGTTCCTTAGGAACATAATGGCAACCATTTTTATAATGCTAGTCTTAGAACACATGGTTTAGAGACAGTATAGTTTATCTCTAATCACACTGGCACACGAGAGAGTCTAATTAAAATTTCTACAACATACGTTAGTGTTTCTCTTAGTTAGTTTCTCTTTTTACTGAGACAAAAATACATGACGCCCAAAGTTAGAGGAGGAAAGGTTTATCTCACCTTACAATGTGTAGAGGTTTTAGTCCATAGTTGGCTGGCTCTAAGAAAAGGTGGAATGGTAAAGGGGAATCACAGAGCAGAAACAGCTCATGTCATGGCAGGGTAGGCAGAAGGTAGCATCAAGCAGCACTGCAAAGGGAGCCTTCCCTTCCTTTTTATCCCAAATGAGCTATACCCACATCCAGGGTGAGGCTTCTGTATTCAGTGAAATCATTCACATACACCCAGAACTATATTAATTCCAATCAGTGGGCTAATTTAGTACCACACAATCTTAATCCCCATATCACACAACCTAGATGCACCCAGCTCTGAAAAACCCCATCTATGAGTGAGTGCATGTGGTTTTTGGAGGACATCTAGATAAAAGACATAAAAGTATTTTATCTAAAACTTCCACATTATATAAGTGTCTGCATAAGAAAGAGCTTATTCAAATTACTTTAACCTCTTTATACTTATATACCCATTCATCTCCTACTCCTGGGACCCCCTCTCTAACCCATGCATCTACATGCTCAATAGCATCAACAGCAATTTCCATGAATAGAACATTTTCTGCTTTCAGATTAATCAAGTACATACTTTAATTTTTACTGTCATTACACCAATGAAGATTTATCCAGTGATATTTACAGAAATGCCAGTGTTACATGAGCTTTTCTCTTAAATTTTCTTAATAAGCATTTATCAGGCAAGGAACATAGGTCAGAAGCAGAATATTTGATTGGTGATGCCGTGTGTTTGTTCCTAGATCTATAAAAATATTATCAAGCACTATGTACATATATGTGTAAATATAAATAGACATAGATGGCAAAGTAAAATACTTTTAGTGCATAAAAATTGAGATCTCCATCTACATAAATCTTTAGTTAAGGAATATAAATGTCACTAGGGAAATATTAGTATTCTCACTTTGGAAGTCAAAGAGGAATAGGGGTTTAGATATATGTAGCTTTCGTGATGTTAAAATGTGTTAGAAGGGCTCTTAAGCCATGAGTGAAAGGTGGGTGTTACATGTAAACAGGACATTCAAACACAATGATTGTAATTGTTATACATCTTCAGATATCTGGTCAAGAGCCTATCCCTGGTCCCAAATCACCAAGTCAGAAAATGATAGAAATTCATCTTCCCAGGTTTCTTCAATTTTAAGGTGGCCATGAAAGATGATTTCTAAAAACAGATCAACAAACAAAAATCTGAGCTGCTTCTAAGAGATATTTTAGCCTTGCATATGGCGTGATTCCTTGTGCCTCCCTCACCTCTCATTCAGCTCCAAATGTCATCACAGTGAGACTGATGCAGGGAACTGAAGCAGTTCTCCGTAACCGTGTATGAGCCAAAGACCAGGACTTACACCCTCAGCAAAGACTTAAAAATGTCAGGATTCACATTCCTATTGCCTATTCCTTAGCATCCTAAAGGTTTTAAACCCTTTGGTTTTGTAACCTGAAGTCAAAAGTGGTCTTTCTGATTTATTTGGGTCTATTGTATGCACGGATCTCAAACAGTAACCACTTTCCTACCAAAGAGAATGATAAACTCTACCTTCACATAGTGAGCCAGAGAAATCTGGCAATAGGTTATTTATATACATATATACATTCACAGAGTTCCCAGATCAAATAAATAACAACAAAAAAGACTCATCAGTTTCAATACTCAGGATTTTGTAGACCATAAAGGAATGAAGCAATATGCTTATATAAATCATATGAGACTATAGTCTGATCAATTTAATTTTAAACATTAGATAAAAGCCTGTAACTAAAGAGGGACAGATCCAAAATTTCCATGGACCCCACTGGAAAAGAGCAGTAGAACAAGAGGCACACAAAGAAGATCAGAGCCCCAAGTGATTAGAACAGTTTCACTCTTAGAACTGCTGACTAAGGGTTATCTTTATATGTAAGGTTATCTTTGGCTATATTATTTATATCATTATATCAGATTTATTTATATCTATATATCATTTATTCCTCTAATATCTCTCTATATTAGGGTTATCTTTAATACTATTGGTCCATGAAGAAATTTTTTAAAAAATATTTTGGGTTTTAAATTAGCTTATAATAAAACTACTTTAGTCATTCTGTTTTAAGATATAAGCATATTAAGTGAATCCTCTAACTAATCTAAATTCAAGAACCACTGGCTATTGTTTTACACTGATATGCAAATATATTGGATTTTACCTAACAGAAATTGCCCCACATTTTACTGACTGTAGCAGATAGCCTTCTTGTATCCAAATTATGTGTCTACATAAAGTTATTTCTCTTACATGTAACTTCTCAGAATGTCTGCTTCTGGACCAAGGAGCGGTATAACCTTGTGGCATAGTGACAAACTGGATTGTCAATTTGCTTGACTTGAAAGTTACCTCAGGTATTAGTAAAACACACTTCTGTTAAAGATGGACGACTAGGATCTGTATCGGGTCTCTGGCACCTTTTTTGCTGAGGTGTTATTCCCTATTCTGCTTCCCACCTTGCACAGACTCAGTAGCTTTTCCTCTCAGTGACTTTCCAACATGATGTTCCTGCCTTGGAACCAGCTGACTATGAGTTCCCTGAAACCTTGAGCCACATAAATCATTTCTCCATTTGGGACTGAAGTTGCCAGGTTTGGGCTCAACAATTGAAAAGCCGACTGATAACAGATATCCGAACAGGCACTTGATGCAACGTTTCTGAAAGGAGATGTGAGCTAACTACCTCAGTGCATAAACCTATAGTTCCAGTCTTTTGTCCCTAGATTCAGAAAAAATAGAAGAAACTTTTTTTGAAAGGACTCTATGATAGAGGGCAAAAATGCTAATTTCTGATGACCTAATCTTTAGTGTGTCCAGCTGTCCAGTGTATTAAAGCCTTTATAGATTCTAGGGTTGACAAAATAAAGCTAGCTAGCTGCTCTGCAGTATCAGCTGTCTGTCTCAGAGTCTTTTGCTCTTTCCCAGGGTATCTCAGAGTTTGAATTTTCACATGGCAAATGCAGCATGTGGAACTACCACATACACACTGAGGCATATAGTAAAAACTCTAAAAGGGCTGATTCCTTCTTATTAGAAAGATGTATCACTGTTGTTTTTCTAACTGCATGGAAACCACTAAATGTCCTTTTCTTGGGCATAAAGGACAATTAATAATACAGTGCAGCCTGGCGAGTAATAAAGGAGAAAAAATTGTGACAAAATGTCACTCTTTCAGTGGTCTCAAGAATATTTTCGTGCCAAATGGAAAATAATTCTTAAGTTCATGTCATTTTTTATGCTGCTTCTTATTTGTATACATCCCACTTCAATGAGTATTTAGTTATCTGAAAATAGGGCAAGGGTTTTCTTTTTGTGTCGTTTGTGTCCAAAGTAATTTGTATTATTCAACTCATATTTACCATCACTTGGTGGATTTTCTGCTGGAGGCTTCTTTTTCCTACCTCTAGTCTCTCTTGGCCTGTAACTAAAATGTTAAGTAAATAAAATATCAGTACCTTAACTAGAAAATGTCCTCAAAGCTGAGTTCCATGTCTATAAATTTGAAAGTATTACACTGAATGACAAACCACCGTCTATAACTCCTGAGACCATCAATAATTTATAGCATTTATTTGAATTGACCGAGTGTCAGAGAATTGTCAGGCTATGCGCATAAGACAAATCATACCTTACATAAGGCTTTTCTTTCCAGATGTTTCTGATAATACTCATTTTTTATATTCATGTGATAACTATCAGATAAATATTATTTGTTTTCTTTTACATGTAGAAAAATTGTGACAAAGTGCATGTCTCTGTTGATGCAAAAATAAAGTAATAGCTTAATGTTCCAAGGATACTGAGAGACAGCACCAAGTCCAATATTATATACTTCTAATATTTCCACATAAAATATTTTTTCTGAAATTACAATACACTCTACTGCTGAGTGTTAACATTTTTAGAAAGTGTTTCATACAATATCTTATTTGACTGTCACAATCACACTCTGATGTGTGTTCTTATATGTTTTATCCAGTGGGACAATAATATTTTAGCTCACCCATCATAATTAACCATAATCTATTTTCTAAGATAAAAAATATTAAAAGATAGCATTGTAACTTAACTGTATTTACTGGGACTTTTACTGGGTATTACATTCTTTTCCCCGTGCACGCTTTAACAAAAGTTTGACTCTTTTTCCTTCAGAATATTGTCCCCATCTCTTAAAATCACCACAGAATCTTTCGGTGGCCATTAATATTTCTCTAACTCTCATTTCAGAAGTGAAAACTATAAACACCATGAGATGCTACAATTGGTAGCCAGCACAATAGCTACTAATTCTAAAATTATGCTGCAAAGTAGTCACCTTGAAATTCTTTAGCCCCATTACAAGCATACCTCCCTGATCAAAACATGCTTAAAATGCTTTGGAAGTTACTTTGAAAACCAGGTTACAAGCCACAAAAGAGTATCACTTTCTTTCCATAATGGCTACACCTCATTTTTTTAAATTAGTAAGAGTTTAATCACTCACTTTCTTTACCAGATGAAGCTCTGGTTTCTTTGGACCCACTCCAAATATAATATTTTTATTCCAAGCCTGATAAAAATTCACTGTTAAATACAATTTTAAAAGTTTGCCGTACTCTTGAGGGACAATTCCACAATTCCAAGAATGGCTTGTCCCAGGGCAGCATGCCTGACATGAATTATAAAGCCTGCTGAGGAGATGCCTTTGATGGGACTAACATTCTCTTAGTATGTAAGTTTTGAAGTTTTATTCCAAAGTAAATTTAATTCAAGAATAAGTTAGTCACATGTCAGGCACTTCGTGAGTTTGTAGAACTATAGTGCTTAAGTGATTTGACATAAATTTTGTCTAAAAGGGAAAAGCTATCTACATGGCTGTCAAAATTAAGTCCTCTAGAGACATGGTTTTTCTGAACTAGCAAGATTCAATTGCCAAATAACCTCTGCTCCTTGAAACTTAACAAATTTCAGTTCAATCTTTCAATTTTCCCATTATGCCACTTTTAGAAGAGATCATTTTAGCCCAGTGGAGTTTTCAGTAAATTGCCCACTCTAGAAATATGAAGGATGTGTTATAACACCTCTTTCCTTCCACAGGAATATCCCTTTCTGACATCTTGACGAGTTAATGAAGCATCTCTCTCCCATCTGAAAAATATCTGTTGACATTCCTTCGTCAACCAGGTAAGCTTCCCAGGGTTGCTTCATTTGACCTGCAAAACACCTTTTAACATTTCTCTTATGAGTGATGTCACTTGGCACATGAGTGACTTAGTACGTTCCCAGACCTTTTAAAAATAATTCCATCACATTGACTAATCCTGGGGGGTGTCTCCAAAGCTAAGTTCCCTTGTAAAACTATTCATAAAGAGGGGCTCCTATTTCTGACTCTCCTTCCTTTAACACCCTGGTTGTATTTTCCTTGGACCAAGAAACACATGAAATCTCAAAGCATACAATACTGGTCCATTTTTCAACTGCTACAAGGTCTGTTTTCTGCACTCCTGTCCTTCTCACTAATAAATTTGATTAAAGTAAATTCCCCCCTCATGAAACTAGAAACCAGATTTTTCTGCTTCTATTCCCAGAGTTTGCATTTGGCTTCAGTCTCCATTAATTGGATCTTTAAAAGTCATCACCTTTTTTTCCCTAGCCCATGTATATATTCTTTAAAAGTCTGTCAGCAGTCAGTGATATGTTTAGTCTTGCTTGAAATTAATTTTCCACTTTTTTTGTTCCAATTATTTGGCAGGTTTTATGGCTTTCTATTAATTCCCTGGAGCCTTTTGAATCTGTTATGCTTTTTTATGCTTGTGCTTGATGTGTTTCCTTAGCAGCACATTGATTCTAGCGTGTCATGAGAGTTCGTTAGGAAACACGCTGAACATGTGACTGTGAAGATGAGTGTCGCAGGTTTTGAAGTTTTGATGACCTAAAACAATTTTTAAATTATGGTTGGAATGGAAAGTTTTTTTAAAGGGAAGCCTTATATTATTTTAACCAATGTGCTTCCTATATTTCTTGACTCAATTCTGCTGTCTTTATTAAAATAAGCCATTAAGACTCAGCTAGTAAATTAAAATCATAGAAATAGAATAGGAAGTTTTTATCAATTTCAGAAATATTATAATAGATCTTTATCAATTCCCTACTGCTTTATGAGTACATTTTTTAAAACAGTGAAGGAATGACACTAAAACCTTATGATAGTATCATTTGACTGTAGGTATACTATCCATTAATTCATTCAACAAGTATGTGGATTTTTTTGAAATTATAAAATGTATTATGACAAATTTTGCCTGGTTTCTCTGCAGATGTTCAGACTATGCTAGTCTTTATGACATTTACAGATTTGGGTCCCTCTTCAAAATAAATGGGGTCATTTTGATTAATTCTGCCCAACAAAAGTAATTAATCAATTGCTGGCATTCCCTTCCTTTCCGTTCTCCTCGTTGATTTGGGGGATGACCATTAGTTACAATGAAATCCAAATAGAATTCAATTTTAAAAAGCATTATTTCAAGCCATGTGTTTTCAAAGAAGAAAACATGCTATGGAGTTATCGAATGAATTAGTGAGTCTCTGAGCGGGTGCCTGGCAGCCATGGTGGGGAAGATAAGATGGTGTAAACTATTCACCACCTGGCCAGGAGATGAAATGGGTGAGAAGGACCCTGGGTCTCAGAATCCAATTTGGATTAAAGACTAAAGAGTCTGGGGCTGGGGATTTAGCTCAGCGGCAAAGCGCCTGCCTGGCAAGCGCAAGGTTGTGAGTTCAGTTCCCGGTACCGGAGAAAAACCAAAAAAAA